TCTGGCAGAAAAGTTCCGCTGCAGCAATCCCTGTCAACCTCGGCACTGCATTCGATGTCTGAACGCCACATTCTATTTCAATCCACCGCCGCGCATCGAGGCCCGCGTTCACATCCAACTTGGCAGCATGTACCTACTGTACTCGAAAAATATGGACATCGCCCGGATGCACCTCGAAAAAGCGGTACGCCTTCGTTTCGTTCGTTGTGATCCCGGTCTATTTTTGTCTCCTTTTTCATTTAGTTCGCCATCTGCCAAAATCAAACGTCTTTTGAAGACGCGATCGCCGAATGCGCCTGCCTGCTGGGGGAAACGTACATGAAACTGGTAGGTATTCGCTGGCTGCTGTTCTTGGGTTGTTTCGTTTAAGCAGAGAACGCACAGTCTGAGGTCACTGGCCACGCCGTTCAGTGTAGTAACGAGTCGGTTGAATTTTCGAGTTTTACATTTTAAGGGTCCACGGTCTGTGTCGTACCCTTGCGACTTTACTTTGGTTTGCTACGCTGTTGTTCTTTCTCTTCCTCATTTCACAATCACTAGTGACTCCGTCGCTGCCTGTTACCATGCCATAGTGGGTCGTTTAGGTAGTACCAGTCGCCGTCACCATCCCTACCATGTTCCGCAGTGCTTGACGCCAATTTTGATACTAGTCTTTACCCAGACAGCACCAGCTCCATCAGTCTTCGCGATCATTGTTAATCCAGACGAAGAGTGATTCTGTAAGGTGAGGTTTCTTGGCTGTACCAGCACTGTTACGGCTGTCTATGATTTTACGTACCCTTCGTCACTGTCACCAATCATTATCCGTTTTCAACCGAGTATGGAACTGAGTGCTGACAAAAACTCAATGCAATGCGTTGTACGGCTGTTTCGGCATGGCGAACAGCATCACCGTCGATTAGTTTATGAAAGTCGCAGGCTATCTGCTGACTAAAATCCCAGTATTTTTCTAGATCCAACATAAGAGACGGTGGGAAAATCGATGGCGATTTTAAGGGTCGGTCGAGACTGGCGTAGCTCAGATTAAAGAGGTGTTTTGTGATAATGATATGCTCACAGAACTATACTAATAGGGTTGTGAAACCGCGATAAAACCGGTATTTCGGCTCAAACGGAACTGTTGGTTATTCGGAAGACATTACAGAGCAACTGTATTCCTTGCAATGCTGATGATGACATGCTCGCGTCGCGCCACCAAGAACGGTAACATCTGGAATGCGTTCATGAGGTACATATGAGCTTTGGCTCAAATGACAGAAAGGCATATGGAATGGCTCAGTTGATGCGGCCACGTAATAGAAACACACGTGAAGCGTGATCCAGGCACTGATATTATTAGCGATGAGCATAACATAATTGGCGTTTAATGCAGTGGTGTGATGTTTTGAAAAACAATGTAAGACGGCGCGAAGTGACGCAAGATTTGTCCAAGGATCGATGGGTGTAGAACAGATTGTCTCCAACAACGGACCTCTGTTAAAGTCCATATTCGAAGAAAAATTGATTAGGAACATTGAAACGGTTGCTGAAGATCGACCAAACGACGACGAAGGTATCAGTCGCAGCGGAGCCGTTACCCATATTGACCGGAGGAGGCATACATCGTGATGCCGTTATGGCACTGCAGAAAAGGCTCCATGGGAGGAATACCGCCGCTGGTTGTCTACAGTCAGAAATTCGATATCCTCAGTCAGAGGCAAAAAACAGAAACTAGTCGATGAGGCCGTGAGGTCCAGCTCGTGATAGTTTGACTCACGTCAACGAACCGTCGAAGCTCTAGAGTTCTGAACCTCTGCGGGTGAAGGCTGTTCTGTTCAAGGTGTCGATATCACGACGCGCGCGCAAACAGGGGTTGATGTTCTGGTAGAACCCAACTTGACTGATAGAATCATTGAGTGGAAGCCTGTCAGCAGAAGGGTGCAATCCTCCGACAGAAGCTACAACAAGCTAAAGTGTTGATCTTGTTACAAGTCTGTGCGCCCAATTTAGACGAAGAATATGATTCCTTCCTTGAGGAAGTGGAGTGTGCTCTGTGTGAAGTGCCGAATACGGAGTCCTTCATACTCATTTCGATTTTAATGCGCGTGTCGGAGTAAACGTTTAAAAGTAAAAATGCAGTGATTGGAAAAACGGTATTAGCGACCTCGGCAGTGTTGCGGTTTTGTGCAGACAACAGACTGTCTATCCTCAACACCTTTGAGCATCGAAGTGTGCGTCAGTATGCCTGGTACAGGAGTGGTTATATGCAAAAGTCGATGATCGATTTGACAGTCGTAATTGTCTGACTTAAGGCATTCTGTTTGAAAGTTCCATAAATTCAAACTCGCCATTGTTAATGTTAACGCTGAGTTGCGCTGACTTAATGAGTTTGCGTAATGGTCATGATGAAATCAGCAGAAGATGTGAACTTTGAAATAGATGCTTATGATGAAAGTGATATTAGGAGAGACGGTTAAATCAAATAATTTAAACAGTTGACCAGTGCAATGGTGTTAACTCAGATTCTCGATCAAATAACGGCGCCCTGACTTAGCGACTTCGCGTAGTCACCTCAGTAGAATCATAAAATGAGAATCGTTGATATTCATAGTTTGACAACGACATTGTGCTCTCATAGAGATTCAATTTATGGGCTGTATGAATGGTGAAGTCGAATTATTGATACAAATGACTATCTACCAATGACATAAATTGAAATACCTGACCGCAGACGGCAGGCTGACGTTTGCTGACATCACACAATCCGTACAGTGCAACTGTAATAAGAAATTCACCGATCTGAACGTGGTATCTTATTAAACTCAGAGAGTTACCATGCTATGTAACATGATGTTCGGAACCACGTAATTTTTGCGGTTGGTCACTGTCCAATAATACAGATTCAGTGCGCCGACTGCAATATCAACCAGCGGTCTCTGCCAAAACGTCCTATTCCGACATGACCGACACTTGTGAACGTATCTAAAAGGTAAAGTCTAGTGTTTTCTCGTTCTGCTGCCCGCTGCTCTCTTCAGATCAGGGGAGAAACAGTGGAGCAGACGGAGAAGTTCAGGTGCCTTGGGGATTTACTGGTGATGAAAAATGGCTTACTGGTGATGAAAAATGGGAGGAAGAGATCAACCGCCGGATTACGATCGCCAACGGCTTTTTGCTTGAACTAGCAGGAACAGTTGTGGCCAAAGCAGAGCTGAGCCCGAAGACTAAGCTCTCGATTTTCAAGTCGATCTTCATCCTCATGCTTACCTACGGTCACCACTCGTGATCCGTGACTGAAAAACTTCGATCCGTTTTCAAACGGCTGAAATGTTTTTTTTTAAACGAGTCGCTGGTCTTACGTATCTTGAGTCCAGAGTACAAAAATCTGAGTGTGCTTTCAGCTTTTTTTCAGATTGAGATTTGACAGGTGAGTGGTTTGGGTACGTATTGCGAATGCCTCAGGAAGGCGAAGCAATTACTGCTTGCCCAGCCGACCTGCAGAAAACCCAGGGGACGACCGAGATTATGCTGGTGTAGATGTATTGAATGAGTCTGATCTAAGCTCCGGTAATATTTTGTCAAAGCTGAGATGTTTGTATAGGATCGCGAACGTTGGAAGCACTGTTCCGCGAACTGAGAATAAAAACTGTCATGGAAAGTGAAGTGTAGGAATACCGACTCTTGGATGCCGTTCTAGTCAACTGAATGATGCGAAATGCCTGTTCAGTATATTTGGCAAATCGTCTTGGATTTTTGCCCTGTCTAAATTGTCTCATGAACATGCAAGAGCAAGAATGTGGCATCACAACGCTGTACCTCGTTTGTTGAGATCATAAGTTGACGTTTCGTTGTGAAACGATGTGTTTGCGGCGTTTCTTCTGATCGTACAGATTGTAGAGATCAAAAGCCGGTTTTATATTCTAGTCTTTGATCGACATTTGTACTGAGTATTCATGTACCATAATCGGTTTTGTACTTCTTACTTAATTCACAACGTTGAATCCGATGAAGCAGAAATGGTGTTTCATGTACCTGCTGCCAAGTGTATCTGAATATTCAGTTTTCTCGTTTTTAGAACGAAATTCAACTATGCAAGAACGTGCTTTATCAAGGTCTGGAACGATTGAGCGGTGTGTCAAATCATTTGTTTTGGCAGGCTAGACTGTTGTTCCAGTTTGCTGTAAGTTGTTTTTTACGGTGATGGCTACTTTCTATCCTTACGGTAATTCTTATCTATATTTTCT